TTTCCTGTTAGAGAGGTCCTAGCCTTATCATCATTTTTTTTTTTTTTTTTTTTTTTTTTGAATTCTTGCGCACATGGCGCACAGGCCGTAGCGCGTGCACAGCGCGCAGTGCGCGACCTGCTAAACCTGCGCACAACGCACAACGTACCGCATACGTGCGCCGCAACTATGGGTGCTATGCATGCATCAATTATGTCAATTTGATTTTGAGAACTGTGACAGAATCATCCATGATAGCAATCTCCAGATAAGAACAATGTAAGAAGCAAGACCGACTGACTCGAGCAAAGGCAAGATCAAATGAATGAGGGAAGAATGAGAACTCATGCTAATCTCAGAAAGTACACATAAGCGAGCATGGCCAGCACCTCTCAAGAGTCCTCACTCATCCCTCTGGTCAGTCTCTCTCAATCTCTTTTCACTGATCTTCTCTGGTGCCGAGACCCACGCCCACGTATTTTCTGAGACTGAGGCTTCGTGACAAAATGCCACCTGAAGCCAGTAAGCTCTGAGCATGACCATCCGAGGCACATGACACGGTAGTTGACCATGGAGCAAAACTCCTCCCACAAAGTAGGCAGTCCGTCCACTGAAAAGACTCCTCGTCTGAGGTAGGGATACTCGGTGGGCTCGGTCAGCGCGTCAACGTCGATCACTGCCGGTGAGATGTACCTCTTTGCCAAACCAATCACATCCAGCCAACTCGTGTCATCTTTGAGAAGAGAAGGGTGTGGAGGCCTAGGATAGTCACTATAAAGCATCGGCCCGAAGCTGCGGATCAACGTAGTGCTACTCAAGCTCCCTCTCTCTCTGCTCAAGGTATTCGGTGGCTGAGATCTAGACTGGATCAAAAAGTTCATGAGCCTCCTTGCCCTTCTTCAGGTAAGGCCTCAGATCGTGGATAGTGCCATCAGCAAAACAGGTCTGGACAACGAAGATTGACAGATCCCCCTGTCTGAAACTGATGGCACTAACATACTAATAGCGGAGTGCCTCTTTGCATGAAATCTGGTTGAGGCTAGCCATCACTGACTCACTGACCAGCGTAGACTGAACTGTGCTCATGAGTACTCTTGCCAGTGCAAACCGACCAGATGGTCCCAGAGAACTGGTTACCAAACTGATTGCAAAAAAACTGATTGCTAAAAACTGATTGCTGGAAACTGATTGCTGATGATTGATTGCTGATGATTGATTGCTGATTAAATGATTGCTAAAAACTGAATGCTGAAAACTGTTTGCTGAAAACTGTTTGCTGAAAACTGAATGCTGAAAATTGTTGTTTTGAAGTCTAGCTCAGCTCTCTATAGTCTGTCTGCGCCAGACACATACTCATCTCTTTTATCATGAAGTAGATGATTAACTTGTCTCACTGAGAATCCCGGACAGCCTTTCTTGCTTCCTCTACAGTGCCCACTGAGGAAATAGTAGCGCACAACTTAACGTTTTTGTCATGTAAATAATAAGTGTACTCAATCCGGGTGTGATCCCTTATCAGCGTCAAAGCATGCTCCATCATCATGATTGTCTGCTGATTGTATTCTTCCACTGCGCTCTCCCTCCAGTCCTCTGCCACGCCCTGACGCAGTGAACATGCCACCCTTATAATGTCACTGTCCCCCATTCTCTGCAGAGCTCTACTGCATTAACTTCCGTGCCACGGTTCAGCACTCGAAATAGACGGCAGCTGTTGCTAGGCGAACAGACTATTAGTTGCCATCTTATGCGCTGTCCGGAAAGGTCATTCGAAGGTTACCTGAAAGGTGTCTGAAAGTTATCTGTATGCGGCTTGGCCACCACCGACGACACCATACACTTCACGCCGAAAGCACCGTTGAGTGCTGATCAACCCTAACAGCTCTGAGCACCAGAGCCGTACGTCGCTGAGTCTGTTCTCTGGTCATCTGAGTCTAGTTTCCAACTGTCTGTTCGGTTTCCGATTTTGGCACCAGGAAATTAGTTAACTGTTGTAATGTTGAGTGTTGAAACTGGTTGTTGGTCGATTGCTGAATATCTGAATAAGTGAACTGAACTCAAGTCCGATTGCCTTGAATCTAATCTGCTTCGAACTGATGCATATCTCTGAGAACTATTCTCTGGTTACCGTTTCCGGTTGCTGTTCTGGTTGCTGTCCTGATTGCTGTTCTCTAATCTCTGTTTTCTGTTTTCTGGGCCTGAGTATTTTGCTAGTGTGGTGTCTGAGTCTTGCTTGAGTAAGACTTGAGCATTGTTTAAGTAACGCTAAAACATTGTTTGTGTAACGTCAGAGTATTGCTTAAGTAGTGTCAAAGTCTCACTTGAGTGATCCCTAGGTATTGCTTGAGTAGCATCTGAGTATTGATTGAGTAGAGTCTGAG